GTTGTTCAGGTCACTAATCCAATCAACTCAAAATTGTGAATGGTTCAAAATATTTCTACGAATCCGCTCAACTTAACTCGTCTACTAGAACTTTTATATTTTTAATGTTTACAAATTATAATTCGTTGAAACTCTAGGCTAAATTCACAAAGCTTTGAGCCCATTGCCTTAATCCAAATTAATTACCTAAATAATTTTGAGTTCGTATGACGTATGACGTCAGTCTCATGATTTTAAAAGACATTTATAGAGAATGATTTTAAAACTGATAAATAATTTAATTAGTTAAAAATAATAAAATATTAATGGTATTTTAAAATTAAATTGCACGTATCTAAAATTGACCCATTATAAAATGGGCTACTACTGGACAGTTAGCAACCGTCCATTATGGGCTTTCGGCCCATAACATGATTGGGAGCGTTTGGGGGAAAAGATATTTCTATTCCGGAATAGTTAATTCCCGTTTTTTCGCATCCCTGACACATACATTGATTAAACAGCACCTGTGTACGGAGAAAGAGATTTATATTCCCCAATTTTAGTGTCCGTAAATTTACTTTCAATAATGTTTTATAATATTTTCTTTTTCCAAAAAAAATTATTACTATTTTTCTTTTTGGGAAAATGAATTAAAAATTATTACTATTTTTTTTTTTTTTTTGTGATTAATAGCCATATATAATTTTTAATATAGTAAAAAAATCTCTTTTTTTTCTTAATTGCATTTTTATTTATTTTTATTACAAGTTTGTTTTAAAATAAATATTTGATTATTTTCCAAATTTTTTGTTTTAGATGAGAAAACCCCTAAATTTGTATTTCAAAAGCTACTTAATTTGTCCAAAGCTGCACATGTTCGTTGGCACTGTTCCAATTAAATAATCAAATCCCAAATATATTAAATCAAAGGACCCACAAATTCAAATAATAATAATAATAATAATAATAATCATAGGACCAACACTAATGGAGAAAAATCATATTAATTGAATAATGGCCACATGGTTAAATTAATAATAATAAAAAAAATTAAACTCTTTAGAGTTTTAGTAATTTCTTAAAACCTAAAAAAATTAAAGTTATTCTAATTCTCAGCCAACTATCTAAGTTTTCGTTGTAGTAATAATCTTGAATTAAAGTAATTAACGCCTCTCTATACAAAATTTGTATCAACCGGGGCTCAACCTACATGAACTGTTCATGATATTTTAAAGAAGGCCGGGGTGTGGATAATTTGTATATAGCTTTGGCTAACCTTTTCTTTATTATTTCCTCTCCCTCTTGTTCTATTGATACTACACTTATTACCTTAAAATTCTGTCTTCAATAACTAGTGATAGAAATTGATTTAAGATGAATAGAAAAAAGATCACGGATAATGCTAGAATTAGATTAACAATCGAAGATCTAGAACTAAGATTTGAAACCTTTTTCTAAATTGAGTCACTCCATAATCGAACTTGATTAAGACTTGATTGAATGATTCGGATGCAATTCTACCATAAGAATTGCTTGAAACTTAGAAATGACAAAATTGATGTTCGTATTTCTAAGGAAAACGTCTCAACTCGAGATCTCAATTTCATTCATTCACCAATCTGATTTTTATTGTGAATATTTATAATCTACCGACAAAAGACGTTTGTGGCCGAGATTTATTTCCGATCCCCTTTAATCTCCACAAAAGATGAAGTTATATGAAATTAAAAATAATAATTTTCAATAAATGTTGATATGATTGAGTGACTAATGCGACAGTTTTGAAATCAATTAAGCTCTTGCAATTTTGTTGTTGACATTTTTAAATCTTCTTGTCAATCGGTCTATTTGAAACACCGTGATTCTTATCACTTACCGTCATTCTATGAACAGACTGATTACTACATTTAAAAGATACTCATGTAGTGTATATATAAACCGATCTTGCATGACTTATCACTTACCGTCGTTCTATGAACAGATTGATTAGTACTATATTTAAAAGATACTCGCGTAGTGTACAATTAAAAGATATGTATATAAACCGATCTTGCATGACTACTAACATAAAAAACTGGTAATTTTTTTGAAGTTTTTAAAAGATATTAGAGAAATAGAACATTTTTAAAATTTTTATTTAAAAGATCAAAAAGATATTTATGATTTTTTTTTTTTTCGAAAAGAAGGGTTTGTTAATCATAATATTAATAATTAAAAATGATGCTGAGCAAGAACATGTGTCATCTGAGTCAGAAACACATATTTTTGGAGTTAATATCAAGATAAAGATGCAATGAACCAACAATCCCATCTATGAAATCAACCATACTTTGCTACAAAACCCCATAAATCTGAATCTCCAATCAAATTTGAGAAAATTATATAAATTTCAAACATAATTTGACGAAAATAAACATATATTTATACATAATTTTGAAAAACAAATTATTAATAATGAAGGCCACATGATATGATTTAGAGAAATGTTAATAAAATAAAGTTGACGAGATTTAAATAAATATTTGTATGGCTAATGTTCAATGAACGTGTTCCAATTTTGTTTAATGTTTTTGTTTGCTTCTTTTGGGTTACACCTCAATTCTTTAATGAAAATAATGTCTTCCTCCTCCAACGAATTCAATCGATGATCATTGTCTAAATCTATTCTATATTCCATTTCTTTGTCGAATCAAGCAAGAGTTTAGTTTCTTTTTAGTTTGCGATGAAGAACAAGCAGCTCGTCACGTCATTTGACTTTAATTATATGAACCATTCTTAAGCTTACATGTTATGCTTAAAAAAGTGTTTGTTTTGGAGTTTTTAGTCTTGTTATATGAGATCCCACATTAGTTGTGACAATGAGAATGTTGGGCGATGGTGAGATCCCACATTGATTGAAGTGAGGAATGAGTGCCAGCGATAACGGTGCGCTCCAAGGGGGTGGATTATGAGATCTCACATCGGTTAGGGAGAGAACGAAACATTACTTATAAATGAGTGAAAGACTCTCCCTAAATGCATTTTAAAAACTTTGAGAAAAAATTCAGAAGAAAAAGCCTAAAAAAGATAGAAGGATTCATTCATTAATGGAATTTCCACATTTTTCGATGGGACCCACAAGTTTCTCTTGGCTTCAAAATCCTCATTAAACTAACTTTTGTCGGCTATCAATTAATGGGTAGAAGATGATAATTGTGAAGTTCGGCCCTCATAAACTCGTCAAACCTGATCAAGTGAGTTTCTTCTAATTATGAACCCTTAGATGTTTCTTTTTGACTTCCTTTCTCAAAAAATTATTGAATTTTTTTTATGCCTTTTGATGTGAACCCATGTGGAATCAATCGAAAACGGAATTTGGGTCATCTTCAAGTTGGTCAAGCGGTTTATTTGATGAGGCGTGTGCTTTGGCTCCTCTATATCTCAGTTTCTTTGGCATAAAGGAGCAAATATAATGTCATCTTTATATTATGGGTATGACAATAAGTTTTGTTGGTCTTTAGGGCACAAATCTTTATATAATGTCACGATTATGTTTGTCTTGAATGTGTTGTCCATAATTATATGCCATGCAAACTCTAAATCCCGAATATAATGTATTGACGGTGATATCAGCTATGCAAGTCTTTATATTATCAGTATGACAATAAGTTTTTGTAGGTCTTTAGGGTACATGTCGTTGTATAATGTCACGATTATGTTTATCTATAACATGTTGTCCATAATTACATGTCGTTTTAAACCCTAAATCCCATATATAATGTCTTGACAGTGATATCAACTATACAAGTCTTTATATTATGGGTATGACAATATAAGTTTTGTGTACATTATCATTGTCATGTTTGTCTAAAACATGTTGTACTTGCTTCATGTTATTTCAAATCTTTTTTATCTTATTTTCGTTGTATGTTTTTTATTGAGTATATTTATTTATTTGAATTGATTTTTTGTCGGTGTATTTGACTCTTATCAAATATTTTCACTTAGTTATATGTTATTTATGTCGTTGTTGTCGTCTCCTATAATGGTTGCTAGCATGCAACATTTACTTTCTCAAAATATATAATATATTAAATATTATATTTAATTTGTTACAAAGTGTCTCAAAATTCATATATAAATATTAATTTTTGAGTTGAACAAGCTTTATTCGTGTGTTCCAGTCATATCAAATAAGTTTATATGAGCATTCAATATTCGTGAGAACGTGAAGTAAGACTAGCCAATTGTTAGATGATGATATATACAGATGTCTATTTAACTTGCGCGATTCCTGACCCAAAAGAAAGAAAGAAATCTCCATCTAAACAATAAATGGGTTGGGATTATTTCCCTACCCCGACCCCGCCTCACTCGACCCATTATAAATAGGTAATTTGAAAGGATGACTATTTGAAAGAAGACTCGAGATGATATTATTACGGATAATATTAAACAATTATATAAATATTAGAAAGATAATCCGCCCCCATCATTAATAAGGAATTTACCTTTTTGACATGAGACAAGCACATTATCATGAGCCATGATAGAGTCTACCTAGCTAGATTCTATAGACTATCTTCAATTTCTCAATAATTCATAAATCTTACCAATAAAGTGCAATTAGTTTGATAAAAAAAAAAAATTATTATTATTTTATCAAATTCAAGGAAAATTAACTTAATAATTAAAATAAATATTTAATTTTAAGGGTTATAAGAGAAATAGAAAAATAATAAAATAGTAAGAAGAAAATCTCGAGATTAAAAAAATGCGAGGAATTAGGATCGTAAAAGAGCAATAAAAATTAGTAGAAATAGAATAATGGTTAAAAAGAAAAATATAATTGTTGGTGCCGACACGTCGTCGTTTGGGTTCAATTGACCGTACAGTTTAAGCAGCATGCGTGAGCTGTCTGCATAAATCCATTAGAAAAAATTAAATTAATAAAAAAAAAAAAGAAAAAGAAAAAAGATAAGTACTCTTTCACTCTCATCAGCTATAAATGAAAAAGGTGAAATTTTGATGGGAGTTGCGCTCTTTCTCTCTCACACGAACTCTCTCGTCAAGCTAGCTTCAAAGCCCACAGTGGCTTTTATCTCCAAATTTCCTTCTCTCTCTCTATATATATTTATATATACAAGCATATGCAATTAACTCTGTAGCGTTTCTGAAGCATCTGTTAGATCTACTGCCCAGATTAAGTACATGGATTGAATGAGATTTGCGAGAAACGGAAACCAGAAGAACAGCAGCCCAAGGTGAATAGCAAAAACAACATCAACAACATAATTTTCTAACCCTACTTTTCAATTTTGATTTCCCCTTTTTATATTTCGTCTTCGGCTTTGCATCGGATCCGTGGTTTTTGATTCTGATCTTTTTTGTTCCTGCCTAATTTGTTGTGGAATAGTAGATTTTGGGTTCTGGGTTGAGGTGGATATCAAGTAATTTTTAATTCTTTGCTGCAATTTTGTAATACCCGCGTGGTGTTTGATGAAAGTCCCTGTTGGTTCTTTAGCTTCTTTTCTGCTTTTTGACTGTTTAGGGTTTGAATTGTAATGGGGTTGTGTTAATTGAGCTGCTACGACTGCTTTACTTGCTATGATTGTTGACTTTCCATAAAAGGGAGGCAGGGGGAGGGGTTAGGGGTTAGGCTGGCATATTTATACCTTTAAATCGAGTGTTTTAAAGGTTGCCGAACTTAGTTTGTTGAGAATTACTCTTTCTTGTCTTGATTCCAAAATCTTCTTCTCATTATGGTTCTCTCATAATTTTCTTTTGATGCTAATGGATAGCGTTTTGTTTGATTTAGGTCATAGTGGACATTGGTGGCAGTGGCTGTTGTATTGGGGTCTGTTCCATCTGTGAAATCTGAATATTCTTTCTGGAGCAGGGTAGTATATAACAGATTGAAGTTTTGCTTTTCTGGGTTGAGCTTGATTAATTTTTTGGGTTGGTCACTAAATTAATAGGGTGTCAACATCACTCTCGAGTGACATTCAAGTGGATTTCATTCTACGAATGCTAAGCAAAATAATCACAGCTACGGTTTGAGGATTTCAATGCTACTGAGACTTCTGGAATTGATGACAAAAGTTGAGACAATCATGGATGTACGTGTTAAATTTGCAAAATATGAGAGAACAGGGATTATTTACAATGAATGAATATTTTTTATTGTAGAAATTGTTGCTTTCCTGTAAAAGAGTAATGAAACGTTGTAATTTTAGGAAATGCGAACAGCTGTGATGTAAATTAATTATCTTGGTGCTTATCGGGAAGTCTGTAGTTTCCTGGATTCGTTAGCCAAGCTTTAACACCGCCCTATTGGAGTATTTTGTGGGAAATCCCCATTTATACCATGGAATCTACGACATCGCATACAAATCATCTGTCGGGTGCTATTCATCGGTTTATGCCTTTCATTGCACCTGCACTTCTGGTTTCAATAAGTTATGTTGACCCTGGAAAGTGGGCTGCGACTGTTGAAGGAGGTGCTCGGTTTGGGTTTGATCTGTTTGTGTTAGTGCTTCTTTTCAACCTTGCTGCCATTTTGTGCCAGTATCTCTCGGCTAGCATTGGGGTAGTCACTGGAAGAGGTCTTGCCCAGGTACAAATTATTTGTCCTCTTGGCTTTAGCATTTTTACTTATAAAGTGAAATTATTGTCATTTTCTTCTATTCAAATCCGTGGTCCATGAGATCTGAGGGATGTATCTCTCGTTTCTTTGTGCACATGTTAATGTTTCAGGTGTCTATCAAGCAGCTTTTATCTGAAAATCAGTCAGTCGACAGATGCTGATTTTTTTCCATATATTAGTTTTGATACCTTTTGCAGGGTAATTTCATGTGTAATTCACATTTTTATTCTCCTCAGTTTTACATGTGTGTAGAAGCATTTCCAGTTACTGTTATTCGTCTACGTTTTCAGTTTTAGGTTACCCTCAAGAACAGTTCTTCTTTGTGATGTTTGATACGTTAGGTTGTATCCTTCACTTACGCCTCTTCCATTTTGGTCTGTGCCTGTGTATAGGTTCATTTATTAATTTTCATATTACTCGACTGCTGGTTGCTAAATTTTGCTAGAGCTTGACCTTTTTTTTCTCCCTATTTTCTTCTGTTGATAATACCAAAGATTTGCAGCGAGGAGTATGATAAGTGTACATGCATCTTCCTGGGAATTCAAGCAGAGGTTTCTGTGATTCTGTTAGACCTTACCATGGTAATTTTTTTTTCTGCTCACTTATTCCAGCCAAACTTGTGATTCAATTTTGTTAAGAAAAATTTCAAGTGAAGCATGGTCTAATTTGATCATATTTTAACTCTTAAAATTTTGAATTCCAACTTGACTATAAAGCTAAAATGTTATTTAAACAACGTACTAGATCTTGGGCATTTCACATGGACTCAATCTTCTACTTGGGTGGGACCTCTTCACGTGTGTCCTTTTGACGGGTGTTGTGGCTGCTTTATTTCCTCTTTTTGCTAATCTTCTGGTAAGTTCAAAACTTTTAATCATAATTTGTTATTATTATTTTTTTTTGATGTAATTCATAATCTTAATGGGTTTGCATTTTCTAGGAAGATGGTAGGGCAAAGTTCATGTATATATGCATGGCTGGGTTTATATTGCTCTCTTTAGTTCTTGGAGTACTCATCAGTCAACCTGAAATCCCACTTTCCATGAATCTCATGCTGACAAGGTTAAATGGGGAAAGTGCATTTACTCTTATGAGTCTTCTTGGAGCAAGTGTCATGCCTCACAATTTTTATGTGCATTCTTCTATTGTGCAGGTACTCATTTCTTCTCTTGCTATCTGTCTTTGCTTGAGCATAGAACTGCGAATGTTTTACTTTTCCCAGTCAAAGTCGAGAGAGATTATTTTCGTCTACCAATATCTTAAGATTCGGATGTCATGCTGGGCAGTTCATTAGACAAAAACTTATGGGATTGGATACTCCATGCTTGAAAATGTTAATATGCGCATAGATTTTCCTCCTTGCTAAATTCATATTTTTCATGCAAGAATCACAGGAGTTTCTATGTAAAGTAGCATATGTGACGTTTGTCAATGACTTATTTTTACATCCCTCAGTTCCTAATTTTTCAGCATCTAGATTCCTCTGAAAGTTTGCTGGTGTAACTTCATAATGTCTTGAATGTGATAAATTTGTACTTGACATCCCCCGGTTCCTAATTTGAAGTATTGAGATTTATTTTTTCCTCTGCAAAGGAAAAACTTCTATTTCTTCATAATATAAATTTAGATATCCTTACTTACTTTATAATGTTATTTCAATATTTTCTTGCAGCAGCAGCAGCAGAGTCCGCCAAATATTTCCAAAGAAGTATTGTGTAATAATCATTTGTTTGCTATCGTCTGCATATTCAGTGGAATTTATGTGGTGAATAATGTTCTCATGAACTCAGCTGCAAATGTATTCTATAGCAGTGGCCTTGCTTTGCACACCTTTCCAGATGCATTGTCTCTAATGGAGCAGGTGTTCTACAGTCACCCTTCCCCCTTTAAAATATAATTTTCTTGTCTTGCTACATTTGCTCAGTAATACTGTGATTCATATTGATCTTATTCCCCATTTCTCTCAAATTATGCAGGTATTTAGGAGCCCAATGGTTTATGTTCTCTTCTTGCTTGTTCTGTTTCTATCAAATCAAATTACAGCTTTCACATGGAGCCTTGGTGGTCAACTGGTCCTGACTAATTTTTTGAAATTAGATATTCCTGGTTGGCTCCATTGTGCTACGATTAGGATTATTGCGATTATTCCAGCACTCTATTGTGTCTGGAGTTCAGGAGCTGAAGGGATGTATCAACTTCTTATATTTTCTCAGGTTATGGTAGCTCTATTGCTTCCATCTTCTGTGATTCCCCTCTTTCGTGTTGCTTCGTCAAGACCAATCATGGGTGCCTTCAAAATATCGCAGCTTGTTGAATTCATAGCAATTGTCATCTTTGTTGGAATATTAGGACTGAAAATTGTATTTGTTGTAGAGATGTTTTTCGGTAACAGTGATTGGGTGGTTAATTTGAGGTGGAACATGGGGAGTGGTTTGTCAATCCCGTACGTGGTTCTCCTTATTACTGCTTGTTCAGCGTTCTGTCTGATGCTATGGTTGGCAGCTACCCCATTAAAATCGGCCACTGCTATTGCCCAATTAGATGCACAAGTATTGAACTGGGATGTGCCAGAGGTTAAACCTGATTCAGCTGTTGAGAGAGAAGGCATTGATTTGGGGAAAGGCTCATACAGTGCAGAGCCTATAGCAAGTCATTCAGACTTGTCTGTTCCAGAGTTTGATTTTGATTTGCCTGAAAATATTATGGAGCCTGTTCAGGTGCTTGATTCAATTAATCAAGGTGAGACTCAATCTAGTAGTGTAGTTCCAAGCTCCCCTAAATACGTTTCAGAGAATCTCATATCCACTGAGGAATTAGTCTCATCCTCAACTGTTACTCGTGATGATCCTGACTCGACACTGGCTGACAAAAAGGTCTTAAAAATTGATTCAGTGGAGCCAGTTGAGAAGACTGTTGGACTTGACGGCGACTTGCGTTCTGAGAAGGATAGTTACGAGGTTGATAACTGGGAGGCTGAAGAGCCACTGAAAGAGATTTCTGGTTGTTTACCGTCTTCAGCATCTGAGGGCCCTGGATCTTTCAGAAGTCTTAGTGGGAAAAGTGAAGAAGGTGGGAACGGTACTGGTAGTCTTTCAAGGTTAGCTGGACTTGGACGTGCTGCAAGGCGCCAACTAACTGCAATTCTTGATGAATTTTGGGGGCAGTTGTATGATTTTCATGGAGTGGCCACTCAAGATGCTAAGGATAAGAAACTAGATTTATTACTCGGAATTGATTCGAAACTTGTAACTTCCTCTCTGAAATCAGACGCGGTTGGAAAAGATTCTCCTTACTCATCTCCTCTTGGAAGCAAAGCATCTAATCCAATTTCTTCAGGTTTATACGACTCTCCGAAGAGTTTGAGGGTACAAAGTGGCTTAGATTCACCCTATGGGGTACAAAAGGGACATCAACCAATGTGGTCTAACCACATGCAGCTTTTTGATCAATATGTCAATAATTCTAGCCATAATGGTCTTGACTCTGGAGTGAAGCGCTATTCTAGTTTACGCAGTTTGCCTTCTTCTGAGAGTTGGGATCATCAGCCTGCCACGGTCGACGGTTCTCAGTTATCTTATCTTAGTAGAATGGCCAAGGACAGAAGTTCTGGTCACTTGAATGGTCAATTGGATCCATCAGCCTCTAAATATCATACCTTGGGTGGTGCTGGTGGTGCAAGCTTGCGGGACTCGGTTGCTTTTGCAATGGGGCAGAAGTTGCAAAATGGCTTGGGTGCTTGTCAGGCCCCTGCCCCTGGATTCCCTAACTTTGCTGTATCCAGGAATCCTGCTTCCGAATCTGACCGGCAATATTATGATCTTTCCCCTTCTGGAACCGGTGAGAATTTATCGAGTGTATCTAATACCAAGAAATACCACAGTTTGCCTGATATTCATCGCGATCAGCATGTATCAGATAAGAGTTCTCAATGGGATAACGTGACTGGTTATGGATCATCTATCAGTCGGATACCATCTCGTGGGTTGTCCTACACAAATTCTGGATCAAGATCAGTGGCTCCTTTAGCATTTAATGAACTTTCTTCGTCAGGTGTTTACGGTGGTGCTTTGTCGCCACAAATGAATCCTCCTTTGGATTCTGGATCCTTCTGGTATAGACAGCCTTCTGAGCAATTTGGCTTGGGTAAAAATAGTAATTCTGAGAGTAAAGGAATTGGAAGGCTGCACACAATTAGTCAAGAAGCTTCTTTTGTTGTGAATTCAGAGGCTAGGCTTCTCCAATCCTTCAGAGACTGCATTGTCCGACTTCTGAAATTGGAAGGATCAGACTGGTTGTTCGGGCAAAGTGATGGTGCTGACGAGGAACTAATTGATTGCGTAGCTGCCAGGGAGAAATTTCTTTATGAAGCTGAGACACGGGTGGTCCGTATGAAAGAACCTCCTTCATTTTCTCCTGATAGGAGATCAGGATCTGGACTGAAGAACGACTCGAACTTTGCAAATGTTTCTAAATCCTCAGTACCTCATTGTGGGGAAGGCTGTATTTGGAGATCAGATTTGATTGTAAGTTTTGGTGTATGGTGCATTCACCGAATTCTGGATCTCTCGCTTATGGAAAGTCGGCCAGAACTATGGGGAAAATATACTTACGTACTAAATCGTCTTCAGGTAAACGTTGACTATTTTTCTCTCTATCAATCACATAAGCACTTTTTCTATGTTGTCCAAAAGCAATATGCCAATACATCTTGTATCTATGCTAGTAGGAATCGTCATCAAAACTTCGGTTTAAACCGTCATGGCAGATCGCAAAATGGTGCATTTTGTCATTCTAATTGTGTCCGACTCTAATGAATACATCCTTTCAGGGTATTATTGATCCAGCATTTTCAAAGCCTCGCATACCAATGCCGCCATGCTTCTGCCTTCAAATTCCCCAAGCATTCCAGCAGAAGAGGTCAAGCCCACAAATTGCAAACGGAATGTTGCCTCCTGCTGCAAAACCTGGCAAGGGAAAATCCACCACTGCTGCAATGCTTCTGGATATGGTTAAGGATGTGGAAATGGCAATCTCTTCCCGAAAGGGCCGAACCGGTACAGCTGCAGGTGATGTAGCCTTCCCAAAGGGGAAGGAGAACTTGGCATCGGTCCTCAAACGCTACAAGCGACGGTTATTCAATAAGCCTGTTGCCACTCTCGAAGTATCACGCAAGCTTCCAGCAGCAGCATCTGTTCCTTACAGCTCATAGCATTTACACCCAAACATGGTGATGAGAAGAACTAGCAGCTGTTTAATTTTGGAAAGCAGCTCATGGTCTGGAAAGAGATGCCCCCATCTTGGTCTTTCACTCTTTCACTCTCAAAACATGTATCATCAAAGCCCTTTGCTTCGGATTTTCTTCCCACATGTTAGAATATGAATAGGATGTGACTCATTGGACTTGGTGCAAACTTGCATGGAGATTGATTGGTACGATGGTTGCACCGGTTACTCGTGTCAACGTAATCGCCGGAGAGACCACGAGGTGACCTGAAAAAGTTGAAAAATGTTCGTATATAGCAGACAGAGGTCTAATGTGCTGTGTATATATATTGTCTGTGCAAAACTTTCTGAACATTTCAAAACCTTTTTCCACAAAGGTATTCTAGTCTGGCTGTTTGTTACATCATGATGGATGGGGCTACTTTCTTTTGTTGCCGCTTTGGGTTATCAATTCAGATAATCTGAATTGGTTTATATCAAGGCGGTTTAGTCAGTTTCTGAGGTTATCTCCTTCTTTGGTGCCTAGATTTCATATCGAATGAAGGAGAAGAAGCCCAAAACTTTGAGAGGAAGTCTGAAATGAAAAGCCCAAATAGGATAGTATCTGTCGGTGGTAGATTTGGGTTTGTTATAAATGGTTTCAAAGTTAGACACCGGACGGTGGGCTAGCGAGGACTTTGAGCCTTAAAGGATGTTGAGCATCGAAGGGGGTGGACATTGGGCGGTGTGCCTGCTAGCGAGGTCATTGGGTCTTGAAGGGGGTGGATTGTGAGATCCCATGTCGGTTGAAGAGGAGAACAAAACATTTTTTATAAGTATGGAAATCTCTTCTTAGTAGACACGTTTTAAAAATCTTGATCTAAAAGGGTAAGAAACAATTACAATTGAAACCCGGGGCCTCATATTACTTTCCTTGTGAAGATACATTGGTTTCAATAATTTAATTGTAATCGTGGGGCCTCATATTACGAAAGGTTTCTAGTAGTTCGATTTGCTGTGGAGGCATGATATCATTTATTGTATGACTTGTTTAATGTGAGGTTCAAATAATTTTTGGAATAAAAATGTCAGTCTTGGTCTTCACTCAAATATTTGTCTATTTTCATTGGTAGGTTCGGTTCTCGTTTAATAGAAACTTAGAGATTTGAACCCCATCGCTTATGAGTCCGCTAGCTCATTCTTCAACGGACATGCAAACATCTCGCTTCTCCAAATCAGCTCATAGAAATAAATCCGATTTACTATTAAGTTAAACAATATTTTCCAAAGGTCAAATTGCTAATAATTATTTTAAAAAGTAATATATCTATGGTATGAAACAATTATACAATATTTGATAAAAAAAACATATTTATCGATTGAATCTGGTCACAAGTTTTTTTTCTTCTTCAGAATTTTAGTCACTATACATGCTCTTAATTTTCTCGATAATGTTAATGAATAGATTCATGTCCTTATCATTCTTAACCTCTTTGTACCTTTAAAGCGTAACTTATACGTTCGAAAAATATTCTAGCCATTACAATATGGATAAGGATAAATAAACACGGCAAGACTCCACTCCCTCGAAGACAAGATTCTAACTAATCTAAATGCTAAACTATTGATCCTGAATAAATTGAAATTGGGTTGGTTTTCACGTCTGTTTAGTTCATTAATATTATAAGAGAAGAAATAGTTCGAAATTAAAACACAAATGATATGAACAGAAATCGTTAGCTACTAAGAAAAACGTAGGACCTTGATTCTGAATCAGATTTAAATTCGTTTTATAGGATTAATAGATATTCAATTTATAAATTCAATTAAATAGGATTTAAACTCCTTTGTTTTATTAAAATTTTTCATTATAAAGAAAAAAGAATTAAATGAGTATTTATTTATTTATTTTCCATTTTTGCCCAAATAAACACGAAAAACCGAGGAGAATATAAAATTTTATAATTGAATAATATTTTCCTTTTATATACTTAAATTGACCATATTAGAAAATTTCCCATCTCAAGATCATAAATAAATAAATTCATTTCATTTTTTATTATTATTAAACTAATTAAGGTTTTCCATTATTGCAATTCTAATTCATACATTAATTAATTTGAAAATTTATTTTTCAATTATATATAAATGCCCTCAAAATCAAATATTTTGTCGTAAGAAATCTTTCGAAAAAAAACTCACAAATAAATGTTTATGAGGTCGTAATTAGTTAAGACATATTATCGACTAAAAAATCTAAAGGTGTTTGTAAGTGTTGATATGCTTGAAGATCCAAGTGACATTGATGTTGAGCAAGGTGTGACTCAACCACGCGAACTAGGTGAAAAATAAATGACACCTCAACAATGTAACACGGCTTAATAAAATCATGCTTAGAAAAGTCATAATACATATACGTTAGCTAATTAAGGGCATTGATATGAGACATTTTGGAGAAACCAAAAGTAAAATGATAGTTCATACTGTTTTGGAGAGTCGTTGTTCCTAGCATGGTATCCAAGTACTCGTGTCAATTATCTCAAAGTTTTCGAATAAAGGGTGGCTCCAAAGAGAGAAGACCTCATGGTTTATACGTAAGAAACACCATCAAGATTGTTCCTAACATATATGTCACGAGTGTCGGTATATTTTGCTTGTTTTATTTTGATACAATCACATAAATTCGAAGATTAGTAAGATTCAAGTTTGAAAGAGTTTTATTATTTACCAATCATTCGATTATTTCTTTCTATATGTGACCCAATCGAGTAAGTAACATTCATTACATCAACCTAAGGTAAGAATTATCAAACTTTGGTTGGATCTCTAAAATTTAAGAACAATAATTTTCTATAGCTTCATCATCCAATTAGACACTTAATCAACAGTAGTTCACTATTGTCAACGCTAACTTGCAGAACCCTAAAAACGTCTTAAAAAATTATAAACAGACAATCAACTAAACTCATGCAATTTTAGTCGAGGTGTGCGTAAATTAATGTCTATCGATTATGTAATTTTAAGCGAGATGTACGTAATGGGTCTATATATATATATATATATATATATATATATACACACACACCCATCCTCCAAGGAAAAAAGAGCTCCACAAACTCTTTCAATAATTGAAAATTGTAAAAGGCTTCAATTATTCTCACCAACTCCTTTTTTTTTCTCTATTTAAAATCCTTTTTGGAGGCTGAAGAGGAAAATGAGGAGTTTTTTTAGGTCAAATTTACATAAAATTAAAAGAATTGATAATATTATAAAATGTTTGCTAACTAAATAAATATCCACCAGTTTGAATTTCTCACCCATAATCTTAAAATAAAATAAAATAAAATAATTCAATGAAAAATTCAACAACCCCTCTCATCTACTTTAATTTTTTTTTTTTAAAAATCTATTAAATAAGATTGGCTCCAAATTTAGAAAAAAAAAAAAAAATAGCGAAAATGATAAATTTCAAATATAGAAAAACCAGCCAAATAATAGCAAAAAATTAAATCCAATGAAAAAATTAAAAATGTTTCCATCTTGAGAATAAATCTATTCAGAACCGAAGTTTATTAAGAATAAATATCAATTACCACAATCTCCGATCTCTCAAGGAAATAAGTCGGCTCATTTCACTCGGTTACTTATGCGAGTGTGAGAATGGTTCGTGCTTTAGTTCTTGGGTTCGTTCATGCAAGCAAATAATAATAACCACAAAAATGTGAACGGGGTTGAGATTTGAGTTATTTTTAGGTTTTAATGAGGAAAAATATGGCCAGATTTGCAATTTTTTTTTAAAAAAAGTTGCTCTATTTGACCTTTGAAAATCAGGGAAGGTAGGCAGCGTTGATCCTCATACTCTTTTCCAACTACCACTTCTTGTGTTGTTCTGCTTCCACCATGCTTCCTTACTTACCTCACCCACCATTTTTGCCTTTCTATTTAAACACCCTTCCTATACTCTCTTTACACAATTCATTTTAACTCATCTCTTTCTTCTATTCTTCATCCTTCATTTTTTTTCCATTTACTTTTCTTCTTTTCATCTAACAATGGCCGCCATCCACCAAACCAACGACACTCTCTGCCCCATTACTACTCTTCCCGACCCACTCAACTGGGGTGTGGCTGCCGAGGCTCTCAAGGGGAGCCATCTCGACGAGGTGAAGCGCATGGTGGAGGAGTACCGGAGGCCCCTTGTCAAGCTCGGTGGTGAAACTCTCACCATTTCCCAAGTGGCTGCCATTGCCACTCGTGATAACCATGTGATGGTCCAACTGGCCGAGTCTGCTAGAGCGGGCGTTAAAGCTAGCAGTGATTGGGTTATGGAGAGCATGAACAAAGGCACTGATAGCTATGGTGTCACTACTGGCTTTGGTGCTACCTCTCATAGAAGGACCAATCAAGGTGGCGCTCTTCAGAAGGAGCTGATTCGATTCTTGAATGCTGGGATCTTTGGAAGTGGAGCTGAGTCCACCCATACTCTGCCCCACTCCGCTACCAGGGCGGCCATGTTGGTGAGAATCAACACTCTTCTTCAAGGCTATTCGGGCATTCGATTTGAGATTTTGGAAGCCATAACCAAACTCTTGAATTCTAACATCACTCCCTGCTTGCCTCTTCGTGGAACCATCACTGCTTCGGGTGATCTTGTTCCTCTTTCTTATATTGCTGGATTGCTCACTGGCCGACCCAACTCTAAGGCGGTTGGACCAAATGGAGAGAGCCTTAATGCTCAGGAGGCTTTTCGACAAGCTGATATTCCTTCTGGGTTCTTCGAGCTGCAGCCTAAAGAAGGTCTTGCTCTTGTCAATGGCACTGCTGTTGGTTCTGGATTGGCTTCGATTGTTCTGTTTGAGGCCAACATCTTGGCTGTTTTGTCTGAGATTTTGTCCGCAATTTTTGCTGAGGTTATGCAAGGAAAGCCTGAATTCACCGATCATTTGACTCACAAGTTGAAGCATCATCCTGGTCAGATCGAGGCTGCTGCAATTATGGAACACATCTTGGACGGAAGTTCTTACATGAAAACTGCAAAGAAACTGCACGAAACCGATCCTCTCCAGAAGCCAAAGCAAGATCGTTATGCTCTTAGAACTTCTCCTCAATGGCTTGGTCCATTGATCGAAGTTATTCGATTCTCAACCAAATCTATCGAAAGAGAGATTAACTCGGTCAACGACAACCCTTTGATTGATGTTTCAAGGAACAAGGCCATCCATGGAGGCAACTTCCAAGGAACTCCCATTGGAGTCTCCATGGACAACACTCGTTTGGCCGTTGCTTCAATTGGAAAGCTCATGTTTGCCCAATTCTCAGAGCTTGTCAACGACTTCTACAACAATGGGCTGCCTTCAAATCTCTCTGCAAGCAGAAACCCAAGTTTAGATTATGGATTCAAAGGTGCAGAGATTGCGATGGCTTCCTATT